TTACAGGAGTGTCAGGTGATATAGATAATGATATAACCGGCCAGTATGTCTGCTAGAAGGACATCCCTGCTTAGCTTGTCAATGCTTCACCGGTCAACAGACCATGTGACCGGTCTTTGATACCACTGTCCATCCATCAATCAAACTTAACTGTCACCTGGACGTCAACTTCAAGGTTAACTGATGATCATGACGAGAAATAAATAACCAGTAATCACGGACTACTAGACACCGTCAAGGACAACATTCTTTTTTTCAATTATCTACAAGCACAAAGTAATGATTCCTGGAAAGACTCCACTGTGACTGGAAAAAACCCACACTTATTATAAGTGTACACTGTTTGTCCAGAATATCCACAGCAATACAGATTTTGTTTGGTTGTCAATAAAGAAGATATAAACCAAAACCTATTTTCTGTCATTAAGGTAGGTTTTGTTTTTGTGTCCTCCCTCCGGTAACCATGACAACAGTCCACGTAGACTATTGAGCTGACAGATGTAGGTATACATATATCATTAACACTATGAACACACCCATGGCCATCAGGTGTTTGCGGTTCACACATGATTCATCCACCAGCAATCAGGAAGAGAAATCGCCTAATCGGCATATTCTGCTGATTGGGAACTCCCAACAAATCATATGTCAGAACATTCTCCACATAGCAATATTTTTTCACATCCTGACACAACATGGGAAGGTCAAAATTAATTACCATAAAAGTAATCTACAGTATTTCTTTGTCATTGAGTTTTATTTTGGTCAATACCATCAGTACTGGTTGTTAGCTTATAGTTTCCTTATCATGTTTATCACCATACTAAGTTACCCTTCCTCATTTTAAATCTTCATCCTTGAACAGTATGAACACACCCAGTTAGCTTTCAAGAATATTTTTTTCAATTCTTGGTTATAAATTTGTTAATATTGAGGATCTTATTTCCAAAATAAAACCATCTCACTATATCAAACTTTACACATCCTCCTCACAGCAGAATGAGTCACCTTGTGGAATAATTATGTGTACAAAAATTCATTATAATTCTTAGTGTCTATTAATCATTTATTCTCTACAGGTTTTAATTAAAGTATTTAGCTTATTTTGGTATTGGTAAGGACAGAAAATCACCTTTATGACCTTTATCATTAAAATGATTATTTTAAGGCTTTATGGTTGTCCACATAAACAAAATACTACTATTTTACTATCACCTTTATGTTTTTCATATTTATATATTTTAGTCTTACACAATGAAGGTTTCAGGAGTGAGTTCATGTGTTCTAATGGCAAGTTATGGCCTGTACAGCAAGCTACCTGTTCGTGCAGATGACAATGAAGGAGATGACAGATTTATGCAACAAGCGAGTTCTCAATTGACAAGGTATATTTACACCAAATGAAGCAAAACAGCTGCTTATCCAAATGTTGTGACTGACGTCATGCCTACCTGACCAGTAGGTGTGTCGCCAATAGCGACCCGTGGATTGAATGTAAAACCATCATTGCTATGTACTCAGTCTAATCCTTGCACTGATGTCAGTTTGCACAACAAGGATATCTTGTTGGGATGATCATTGACTCTGCACGGGTGACACAAATTGATGATATTGTACTGATTGTGTGGAGCAATGATTGCATGTTTTACCAGCATCAGTCTCCTACTACACATTACTAATCTAGGCACTGATACTTGATCAAGAATCAGGCAGGATATAAATACAAGAATTAAAACTGGTAGTCTATTAACCTGTTTGACATGATCGACAATAATGCTGGGCATATTGTGGTAGGCATGAATGATGATGTCTGCAGTTTCTCCATGGATGTCAATAGGGTTTCAGATTGGAACACTGGTGTATAGTCTTATAATGTTCAAACACTGTAAAAACATAGTAGAATGTACAAGGATAAAATTGATAAAATTTGAAAAAAAAAAATTAAACACAGTTGTGTCGAAATTAGATGTTTAAAATTTACAGTTGCCTCAAAGTAAAAGCTTGGTCCTTTCATAGTTTTACATCATTCATATATATTCAGATGTGCCGATCCTTAAACAAGTCCAAGTATTTTCGTAGGTCTTTCCATCTTTGGCAAAATGGTACGTCATTAAAGCACCTGCCTCCACTAAATCACTGGACAAGTACCAGGAAGCAGAGCAATCCAATTCAAAATGTATCCCTGACCGAAGCCTTCTGGTCACAAGGTAGCTTCCTATTCTGATCTATCATTCAACTTTACCTCCTCTAATCAGGATGGTCTATTATTTGGGGTGTGTCTTTCACTGTGGCTGCTACTCTGCCATATGTACAGTCTACCACTGGGCACCTACTTAGGTATGACCTTTGTGTTAGACATTTACATCAGCTTTCAAGTTTCTAACTTGTTGACATTTAGAAACAAAAGACAAAGCCCTTGGCTTTATCCTCTCATGTCCAACAAAAATGAAACATGTACTTTGTTTGTGTGGACTTATGGACGTTCCCATGAAGCAGGAACAATTTCCATCAAAGTTACAATGACAACTGTATTTGACCATGTAGAAAGTACAACAGGCCACATGTTCTTTTTAAATATATTTAAGCAAATGAATTCTCAAACACAAAATTCTTTAAAAAAAGGAAAAAGTCACCTTTTCCCCATTGACCTTTTCTCCCAGTTCATTGTTAACCCTTGGGCCAGGTATGTGTTTTAAAATGCCATGAAATTTGTCTGAAGGAATTCTGTCTGAACTTGACTCCCTTTTGTCTTCTTTTCCTTCAATTTAACAACAGTTAATCTCAAGTACAAAAAAACATTTTTGATTGAAACTCAAGATGTACCATAATGTTAAACTGAGATCTTCACAACACCAGATGACTCAACTCGTTGTACATTGGTCTGCCATTTAGTTAACTATAACTCCCTAAAAGCATGAGAAAAAGTGGTTCCATGTCTAGAAACATTCGAACAAATGGCCAACAAACGATGTTCTCATGTCTGGAACCAAACCCATGTTCTAGGTATAACCAGCAAACACTTGTACCACTAAACCATCCCACTCACGCCAGGTCATGGGCCAATCTCTAACCCTGCCCACTTAGGAGGACGACTAATTAACCCATCCTACACACTCCAGTTAAGGAGAGACAAAAATCTACAGACCCTGCCGCATTCAACTTGAGATCTGTCTCAATTTCACAAATGAAATCTAATTTTTTGGATACACAGTGTCAAAGCTTTATCTTATCATGGAAGTCATAAGGTCATTGCTCTAACTTCTAAGGCCTAAAAAAAAGGTTGTGGTTCTGATTACCCGACTAAACCTTGAATTCTGGTGCCAACCCTATTTTTTTAAGCGGAATGAATAAAATAAGCTTTCAGATACCATTGTTTTTTTCCCGGCACCAACAGACATCGGTCATTCTGATAGAGAAAGTCGACATGATGGCCACAAGCTTGATTGAATGCACAATTACACATTGATAAATGTGTTATTAGTTTGTACTTTATTTCTAAAAGAAAAAAAGGAATAAATAAATCATACCTACCTACCCGAAATTTTAAGGAGGTGCCCCAGAGTAATAACGCTGAGATTTTGTTCAAACAATGTTTGTAATGTAAACTGTACTGAAACAAGCTATGACAATGAGCAGTGACACCTGAGTAAATGATCGTGATATCATGACGACAGCAATGTTATTATAGGCATCTATATCAAGATCACCTGTTTGGGTAAACACTGGACACTTGTGGCTTACATGTCTCTAACCTATAACTGACGGTAATAGCTGAACGGTAAATATAACTATTGTCAGAATGACTAGTCCATGTAGCACCTGGCTGGACTACACATAATCATCTTTATCAATTTACATGGCTAATGTCATTTTAAATATTCATTAAATAATTTGTAGAGTGTTGAAACAAATATTACATATTTTCTATATATTCATAAAGAAATGAAATGACAAAATCAAACAAAATTCCATTTCTTAAAACTTATTTTTATGCACTGACATACTAGATTCTGAAACATTCTAAATGTGTCCATTTCATGTACCTGTTCATACTGAAAATATAGCATAGGACAGATACTTCGTATTTTGTAAACTAGATCAGATATGATCTGGTCCCAGGAACATCACTAACCACTAAAAGATCATAAAATGTTAAAAGTGATACAGATCAAAAAAATAAAAAGTGCTAAAAAAATTCAGTATCATGAAATGACAAAAACCTATGGATGAAACCTGTCAAATATCAAATGTTTATAGACTTCTATTGATAAAAAACACACAACATGATTACCTAGCTGAATACAGTGAAATAAGACCTGTTAAACAACGCCCTTGAAAATGTTTTTGGCAATTGTTGACAAATGTATATCATTGTATTCAGAACTCTCTACATCCCACATACAACTGTAAACAATGTTGGTAATTGTCATACCTACTAAACACAGAGAAAGAAAAAGTATCTAATGAATAGTTTTGTCCAACAGAAGAATGTGTTTAAAGGACATGATTACATGGATTAGGTAATGTGATATGAGTGTGTATTATGTGGGCTATAAGTCACGAACCCACCACGATGAAGTGTCTCAGTAGAAAACCACTCACAATTATTGTATTTATCAAGTGTAAAAATTATTCTGCAATGTTTGTCTGAGTGTTTTAACACACCTGACATCAAAGGCGTTGGTGAAGGTTACAATATCCGAAATAGTGAAGTAAAATATAAATCTTATACATCATTATTTACGATAAAAATATTTATAGGGGGCCATTTATATATTCTGTTAATATGAACGTCTGATATGAATATTCATGGTGTTTTTGTCACAATTTAATAAATGTATCGCGACCACGATCCGAGAGTTTGGGACAGATGAACACATCTATAACTCTCCTTAGTTGTTGACACTTATATTGATCCATTTAAATGTGTATCTATCGGCAGATTATACTTAAATAATTGTATGACCACAATAATATTCGCACAAATCGATAAGACTCACCTGTAGAAGTATGTAAACAAATGCCAGATGTAAACATTTCATGTTGTCTCAAATAAGAGGCGGTACACAATCGGCTGGTGTTTCAAGTGTCGTGTCACTGTATATTCCTTGTATGGCAGTTTACCATCGCTCTGTCTGCGGGTACAGCTTTCCGTCACCACCACCTCTCACACTGCCCGATACACGACGGACGTCTGTGATTGTCAAAGAAAAAATTCAGACAGGTGAATTTGGAACGGGTCTCGAACTCGAAGTTTCACTGGGAGGCTTCTTGGCAAATTGCTTCGCTTTGTATCCTCCTTTGAGTGAATTTGAAGATTTAAGTCGGCTGCTGACCTGTTTATCCTCGTGATCAGTCCTGAGTGTTTCGACACAGTAAAATGTCCCGTCCCTTAATGAGGGTTACTCACTCGAAAATGCCGACATTCACTCCGAAGCCTCGCCCAAATCACCTCTCGGCTTACGAGCATTGCATCGCGACATCGTGACGTCACAGCCTCGTTTTCACCTCTGGCGGATTCCCTTAGTTTTCGATTCGAGAGTTTTCACTCAAGCGTGACATTTACATTTTGTTTAATTTGTTGAATTAATACAGATGTCTTTCGTCACCAATTTAAACTAAACCATACGCATTTCTAAACAACATATTGATGTAAGGTGCCTATTCAAATGTGTGTTTGTTTTGTGGGTTGATCGCTTGATGGTATAAGTAGGTCGTAGACTATTTTTATACACACGAGGCAAGCCGTTGGGATCCTCGCTCATTTCCGTATTTTCACTTATTTCCTTGACTTAGTTAAAGTGCACCTCGCCGCGTGATCAAATAGGAAACTTTATATGTTTCCCTGATATCCTTTGCAAGGAATGTACAAACTGTATGAATGATCTTACCGTACGCCTGAACGCATGCCAAAAGCAATGTTAACACAGAATAACACCCTGTTATGGTCAATGTGCAATTGTTTCATGAAGCACAGGGGCGTGTCACGCTTAGAAACAGCGTTAGAAAGACATATAGGTATAGACCCTACCCTAGTATTACGTTTCTAAGCGTGACGTGCCCCTGTGTCATGAAGTACGCGGGGGCAGATTCCCTTAAAGACACACTACAAAATGATCCATAAATAAATTTCAAGCGATAACTTTGTTTATATATTTCGTTATAGTTATGATTATAATAGCTGAATATATTGGTATCTGAGATTTTCTACCCCGGATAACGTTATCATACTAATGTGCTATTTTGTACGTCAAACAAAAATTGTATAGTCTATAAAAATTCTATAGTTATGTTTCCAACCAATAATACAAAAGTTAGCTAGAAAAACTACTGAATTTAAACGGAAATCTTGGTTTTTAATGAAATTGTATATTTCCAGAGAATACACATCAGTCTATGGACTAGCTGAGGGTGTGTGTATGGGGGATGGGGTGAGGAGTGGGTGGGGGTGTTTGAGAGAACTCACCAAGTTACTCATGATTTAAAGCGTGCTGTTTCTTTATTTCTAGAAGAAGAAAAATATTTTATTTATGTGCCACATGGTATAGTACACCATAACAACACATGGGAGATTGCGATAAAATAGTACACCATAACAACACGGTCATGGGAGATTGCGATAAAATAGTACACCATAACAACACATGGGAGATTGCGATAAAATAGTACACTGTTGGCACACACTTCACTGAAAACACATTGCAAAAATACTTGTCATGCTTTCTTTATTTTCCCCGTTGACCTGATATTCTATGAGCGATGTGAGGCAATGTGTATCAGTGACCTTAATAGGATATCGCAACTAATTACTTGATGAGCATAAAGCTAATGATCTGTTCGTGACATCCTCCTCAGATAAGCCCAATTATAGACTATAAAGTAATTACCGACGAGGACACAGCAACGTTATGGGAAGAGACTAAAGTGTCACTTATTTTACAACCCTCAGTTGCTTTACTGACTGACTGAATATGGTTTTACGCCGCTTTTAGCAATATTCCAGCAACATCACGGCGGGGGACACCAGAAATGGGCTTCACAAATTGTACCCATGTTGGGATTCGAACCCAGGTATTCGGCGTGACGAGCCAACGCTTTAACCACTGGGCTACCCCACCGTCCCTCAGTTACTTTAAGCGTAGTCAGCAACACGAATATACAATAAGAAATGTTTGGTAGCACGTGCCTCTGAAAAAGGTACACGCCATTATCACATATTATAGCAAAAGACCAAGATTTAGAATCCCATTGACGTAATACTAGGATAATAAAGAATGAAGTAGAGCATCATTTTAAAGTATGATACATTAGGGATATATTAGACGTTAAATATAGATTTCGACTATTGACTTTTTAAATATTTAATTAGATGTGATGACGTTCAACAGCAAACCTATGCTGTGTTTACTTATATATAAACACACACGTGTCGCGCGCACCCACACTCACTCACACACACGCACGTATTTGTATTAAAACGATCACGAAGATTGCTTGTGAAGAAAATGCGACTGAAGTTTATCTGGGAAGAATTTGATTAGAACTGTCTGCACAATGTGCGTTCCGCATTCCCTGCCTTATTGAACCTGTGATATATAAAATACCGATATGGACAATAGCATATCGTATTACATTTATACGCCCTGTAACGAAGAGGCGGCTGCACGGTGCTTATCTATGCCAGTCACGTGACGTGAAATAAACACCAGTTTGCCCATCAAAGAGATACAGGCATTAGAAGAGAACCCGACATGAGCCGATGATGGGATGGTCTTAGTATATTGAAAGTGACATGCTCTGCTTGGAAAATCCTACACAGGTAGTCCAGAACTTTAGTGATGAATTATATCCAGTTATTCGCCCGAGATGCGTACATGACGGATGCACGAGTAATATATTGATACACAGATATACCACTCCCACGAGTCGCCCGATAAGATTATACACATGATATGATAAATGTACTGGCTACATACACAGCGATATATCATGCGTCTTGTAATCTAGATGTACACAGTATGACTAAACTCGAAGCTCTGTCTGAATATCCGACCCCTTTCCCTTTTTTTCGAAAATGTAAGTTTTCAATCCGATTCATATGTTTAAACCAACATAGGCGATTTGTCAGTGGTTGAGACGTTACTATCAGGTTGAATCAAGAATCAGCCGCTCGCGCGTTTATATTGTTCATACACAAATAATTTATAGATTAATCATAGAGAGAGAGATGTGAGCACGCGCACACACACACACGCACACACACTCACGCACGGACACACATATCCAGTTTATATATTTTGGCACAACGCTGACAATGAACCGAACCACCGAACCCAACTCTTGGCAGAATTTCTATGCACCAGACCACGAGGGTGGTTATTACCATCGGATGTTTCCAAAGACTACAATAATTTGGTAAGTCCCGACTTCCCCAGAATTTTGTGCTGGGTTTCTTATTCTGAGTATTTTGCAGATATACAGTTTTAATAAAAAATCTTATTTCCTGGAGTAACCGCCAGCTGCAGTCTGCTGAGTTTAGTCAAGTAAGCTATTTAATATAACAACTTAAATATATGATCTAAAAGACACTCTAACATGAAAGTAATTTACAGTATACAATAATTCAGTTATTTCAATGCAGTCGCTAGACCCTCAAAATATCTCCCCCTTTCCTTGAACCTGCATGGGCAGTATGCATGACCTGGAGTGTGACGTCATCACTTAATGGATCAAAGCGTAGAGACGCCGGTTTTCTCTGTGAAGTATGTGTATCATGTTAAACAAGTCCCGTGGTCGGGGCAGTGCGAGTCTCTCCACGTCACCCAACACAAACAGGAGTACTTCCTGTTTTTATTCAGTAGAGGGGAATTGTCTGCTCGTTGAATATCTAACTACAAAGTCTTGTATACGTTGACTTACTACTAATCGTGGAGGGGTAGGTCAGTGGGTTAAAAGCTTGTTCGCCATGTCTAGGACGCTGGTTCGATTCTACACAAGGGTGACACTTCATGGACGAATACGTGCCGTTCGACCCAAAACTCGGAATTACAATCGTGTGTTCATTATTACAATTTGAAAAAAAGTGTTACGCATGGAAAACAAATTTTCCGAAAACAAAATAGTTTCTAAATGACACATGATACCGCTTTAACGACTAGCTTGATGCAAGACAACGGCTTCCCTTTAAAAAAATATAACAGTTAATATGTAAACTAGTAAATTATTTTATCTTTTGTATTAAATATTAAGATATGAGCCTTTAAATGGATAACTTTTCTATTGTTCTGTATCATGCGACTTTTTTGTTCCTTCATCGGCTCAGATTTATGTCCAATATATTTTTGTCGACGAGGGTTCGTGTTTTTTACTAACTCAAATATGCGGAAATGACTCAAGACACTTGTAAAGTCAATCACACACATGGTGTTCTATGTTTGCCTCGTAGTATCCATGTTCACCAGGAAGGCTTGGGCCAGCGATCACTTACCTTGTCAATAGCTGTCACTTTGACGGATCACGCACCTGCAGGGTAATGCACAGAAATCGACAACAGGCGGTGTCTCACCACTTTACACGCCCGTGCAATTAGCAGTTTATCTTAAGCGGCAATCTTCAGAAGAGTCAATAAATCAGCCAACATAACCACGTTTTGTTTGAAGCAAAATGAGTGTACTTATTATTATTTCACATTTCAAAGTATTTATTACCCGAGAAATTGGTTCCATTCACGATATATTGCGCCACAATGTTTTCTTAAGGCGAGGCGATATAATATTGTATGGATATAGCCTACTAGGTGACACACCCGTATTGAATTGTTAATTACATTTCTCACGTTAACCAAAGACGTGACATTATCTTCTCCTCGTTTACTATAATGATAATAACATTACTCTTAGTTACATTGAATACACGTAAATACGGTACAAAGGTGGCCCCCACTAACCCTTTCAATGGAGACACTTATGTAGAGAGAAGACATAATTATTACGACAACACTTTTGTTAGAGGTGTCAGGTTTGTGTTTTCTGTTGGTTTTCTTTTCGGGGTGATCTTTGTAGCATATACATATAATGAAGAGAGGATAAATATTATATTTTGACATGGTCCGTGTGCGTCCAACTGTTTGGGTAAACATTCCTCACAGCTATAGCGACGGGGACCATAGAAACTATGGAACTATTTTGATAAAATAAAACCGCGAGATATATTTATATGGAATATATTATGTCCAATTAAGATTTTTGTAATACTTTTTATTCCAAGATGGTTTAAACATTCACAGGCATAAAATTAAAATGATACAGAAAACGTTTTAGCGTAAATTATATACTGACACTTATATCAGTTCCTTAAAACCAGAGTAGCATGGTCGTGGTAGCAAACTCCGCCATAGCTACGTGTAATAGTTAGTCTAATTCCCCTAACCGTCGTATACATGACCCAAGGGTTGCTTGTCTTATCTACCAGTCGGAAGCCTA